TGAAGATATCTGTAATTCCGTAATAAATGTGAAAACGGCTTGCCATATTGCCGTCCGACAGAATCAATATAATGAAAAACGCCAATGCAAGAGAATAACCAGTTTTGATTATCCGTCGAAACAGATTCTTCGCCTAGAATTCTACCTTCTTTCTACACATTTTTATGTGTGATAAATCGAATGCACATTCACATTTTACCTCATTAATAGCAGAAATTTCTTATGATTATAAAAAGGGTTTTTCGCTTTATTTGTGTTTCAGAAATTACTGATTTATCTTTATTCCAATTTGAATTCAACATACGACATGGGGTTTAACTAAAATATTTCCTCTTGAGGTTCTTCGTTATCGGTCGTTTAGGACAATTTGTTTAATCTGTAGTTTATGCTATGTGTATTACTATTGCTTTTCACAACTATTTAAATCACGAATTGTTAACAATATATATGTGTATTACTATTGCTTTTCACAACTATTTAAATCACGAATTGTTAACAATATATATATATATATATATATATATATATATATATATATATATATATATATAAAAGTCATAATTGTCACGTCGTACTTGTAACTCCTAAATAGAAACAGCCTCTAACTTTTAAATCCAACGCAAAGTTATTTCTGTATATAATGTTGTATGCTTACATTTGAAGCAAGCAAAGAAATACTGTAATACAAGGGATCACTTGCTTTCACGTTTAAGAACAACGTATTTAGGTCCCTCGTTAGGACCCTCGTTTGTCCATCATATGCATATTGCCCTTTGTTGGCGGGTCGAAATAAATAGACAGACGCGTACGTCAGTTGCCGCAGCTGCCTCGCAATCTCCACCTGTCCTTTGATTGAGGTCCGAAATTGGCAGTTACCGCTTGGTCGAAGAGGGGAACCTTTTACCGCAGAGGTTTGAAGAAGGTCTGCATCGATCCTCAGTGCATACATGCAGCTCCGATATCTGCAGAGACGTCCCCACGTGCATGTGTGACTCATGCTTATGTCTGATGTTTAGGACAATGATACCTATATCCAGACGACGGGATGTCATAAAAGCAACAAAAGCCGTCTTAAGGAGTGAATCTCTGCTAAAAGCGGAGGCGATTGAATGATTCCGACTGCATGCGTTTATGGTGAGGTGAGGTGTAATGAGGTAACGTCGCGTCCAAGATTATAGCACTTATATAGCGACGTGCATGCTCTTGTGTGTGTGGCTGCTTGTACTTTTTATAGGATTTTATAGTGCTCGCCCACTGAGATACCATGCTGCCCCACATGAATACCCCACTCAGACACAGTATACTGACTCCGAGCCGACCAGTCCTTGTTTTAGCCCCTTCATGCCGAGCGCCGGACAGGGTAACAACAAGTGTCATCTTTTCACGTATGTTGGTATGACGCAGCCGGTTATTCAACCCCGGACATTCCGCTCCCCGGGCGGACGCTGCGTGTGTTTATGAATCACACAGTTGTGATACCATGTGTTCGTGAAAAGGTGAGCCAATCTTGCAACATCAACACCTTAATTGTGATCCTATCCTAGATTTATAGCAAAGATCACCTGCTTGCCAACCTCCGGTCTTAAGCGGAAGTTTCCGGGTATTGTCGGTCCTTACGGAAATTAGCAAACCTGAATCTGTCTTCCGTAACAATATTTCATTTCCTCTATTGGAATCGGACAAGAAGCAGGTAACATGTATCCTTTCTGCAAGCTGACTCTATCACGTGCATGGTATAGGCCAAACACAGTGATTTAATGCGATTGGTTATGTTTGATTTCCTCCAAAATCCAGTCGTGTGTTTCTTCTTGTAACTGGGCCAGGATCTTGACATAAGATCGTGGAAGCAAGGACCACTGTATGATTAAAGCTATCAATACCCCATGATCAGTGTGTGGGAAAATGGTTGTATTTGGTTTGAAGAATCCTAAATAGTCATTATCCCAAACAGATTATGTGAGAACATTCTCGTCGGGTAGTGTAAACAACGTGCCCCTAAATACACAAATGTGATCCAAACAAATTTGTCTCGTTTACGGATTATTATTTTCAAAGCATTTTATGTATTCAACCCATGTTAGTAAAGCATTCGACACGAACCGACAATTTTCCTCGATATCACCCAACGCTTAATGATTTCACACAACTTGCACTTAAAAGACATCGCACAAAGAGAAAGGCTTGTCCTCGCTATTGTACATGCAAACGACTGAGGCATTCTATTGTGTACTTATGTTCATAGATTGCTGTCATCAATTCCGTCCACAACAAAGGTCATTCCTGTCATACGGCCCATCTATCTATCGGGATTAAACAAGTTGTTCATGCTGGCTTCAGAGAAGCTTATAGCAGTAATCATGCCCTAGCGAGGTAATCTCATGACTATGTTAATATGGCATGTAGATCAAGTGAAATTTATAATCTCATATGATATGTTAATCATCCTTATGTCAATTTATCAGTTTGACAAATCTCGAGTAAAACCTTATTGCCTCTGGTGACCGAAATAAATGTTGACGGGACAATTGATTACTTAAACATGACATAAATTATACTTACTTGGAGAATGGATGCATGTTTCCGCAATTGGTTAGCTCAGTCAATACGTATATAAAAGTGAGAGTTTATGTAGTCAAATTAATTACACAAGTACTTATTTAAGATATTGCTCAACAACATACTGCATCCTAGATACATTCTATATAACGCTGTATTGATTTGTTGGATGGTCTAAGCTCTTCCAATGCCCTAAATAATCTAAACGCCGAGCTACACTTATTGTAATATATCTTAATAATCGGGCCCACAGTTCTTGGAGGTTTAGTTTGCTGCAATTGTAAACTGCATCCTTCAGATGTGCAAGTATACGCTGTTCGTGGCTTTGAATTCCTGTTTTCGACCTAATTATTGTCCTCGGTATATTGGCGTCCAACCCCCGTGGCTTCGTCAAGATTGGGAACCTTTGACCTTCCTTGACACGCCGCGATATATGACATATTGGATAAATCAAACCCACCCACCGAATCCATTCTATTCAACGTGACTACTGTCACTGCATGAACGGCGTGTTGCAAGTTCAAAATTAATGTTTACCTGATCTGTCTATCAGCAGAGAAACTACAGTACAGCCCACGCAGCATCACAAAGCGCATGGTCACTCTTGATGTGGGTCAGTGTCTTCAAACATCACCGGAGATAGAATATGATCACGATAATCGTCAATATAATCCACACTTATCAAGCATAACACGTTAGTCTGGTTGTCTATCGGACGTGATTGATATCCCCAATGATAACGTTTACAATGTGATCCATGACCTCCTGTGCGGGAGCCCCAAGGGCAGTATACTCGTGTTGGCACTCATTAGTGTTCCGGTTCAAACTCCGAGATGCTTTGGTGCAAATGGGACAGCGATGTTGATGCAACCATATTGACTGATGGTCAAATGTAGGCCAATTCTTTGCCTAACGCCATTTCTCATTTCTGTCGATGAAACTGGAGTCATATGGAACCTTTAAAGCTTTTAAAGGACATGTTGCTTTATATAGAAATTGACCTATATACATATGAAGCAAATATATGGAACCTTTAAAGCTTTTAAAAGATATGTTGCTTTAGATAGAAATTGACCCATAAACATAAGAAGCAAATATGTTAGTCCTTGCTGTCTGCTTCTTCACAAATAATAATATTTAGGAGATAAGGTTTATTTTGCCATGTTAAATAAACTTCACATAGTTCTTTTTTTTTTATCTTGTAACATATTATAGAGATCACTGGACATATAAAACACAAACGCCAGAGCATTACCAGCCTCGATTATCTACAGAAACATATTCCATTGTGCGGAATTGTTAAAATGGCTGTGAAAAATATATGAATGGAGAATTGAAAAAAATGGTGATGGCGGAAAGGGTAAGTATGTCCTGCCCTACCGGTAGCACCCGCCACTCTTAACTGCCCTTCATTTGACACAGACCATGGACATGTTACCACAATCAATATCCCAAATACCCCCAAATTGTTACAGAAAACGGAAACAGTTTAAACTACTGGATTTTCTTATGTGCGTGCATTATATCATAGATTCCATAAGGTAATGGCCAATGGCTCAGTGGGGGCACGGGTGGCCCAGTCGTCTAAGGCGCCGCCATTCGCTGTGCAGAGTTGTGGCCCTTGGGCATGCCAGAAACCTATGATCGTGGGTTCGAATCCCGGTTCGCCCCGATTATGTTTCAAGGTTTGTCAGCACCATATCCGTGCTCGTGGGTTTCAACGAAGTGGTAAATGTCTGAGACCTGCATCACTTCGGACTTTCCTCACACTTTCCCGTGATATAACTGGAATACGGTTAAAAGCGGCGTTAAACTTAACTCACTCACCCCAATGGCTCAGTGATATGTTAGCCGAAGATGGTTATCACGGGCTAACATTACCATATATTTCACAGTCTATCAAACACAGCAGATGCACACCCAGTCTATATGATCGTTATAGAACAGTCCTTAAAAATACCTACTACGGAAATACATTCTACTTTCAGTTTCAGGCAAGAAATGGCTGCATTTAAACAGTATTTGGCACCCACACCAAATGTTAATTTAGAGACGAACGCAATGTTTGTTATGTTACATCTTACACGAAGAACACACGTGCGTAACTCGTACCGCTTTATGGGGTACTGACAGTTTCTAAATGAGTGTGCCAAGCGTATCGTGCGTCTAAACCACCACGGCAATAACACCTGACTTGGTATCTAGATGCTGCTGAAAATACCAGTTTTCAGTTCGTGGCACTGGCCCAATACCATACCAAGCAAACTTATAGAGTTGCCATTCTAAATACGTCTACCTATGCAAATGTCATGAATGACCACTTGTTCCTTGTTTCGCTGTTTCTCGTGTTGTCCTGGCGTACGACTGTGCTCGTATGGTAAACGGTTGTAGAGACACGGTGTATTTCATGCAACAGCTATTAAGAAACTCCTTTATTTCAACAGAAAAGCACTAGCCATGGAAGTGAATCTTCAAAGCAGCTCTCTAGAGCGTCTTCGACCACCAGCGAGGTAGCCTAACTGTTACAGACGCGCATACTCATAGGTTCAATGTCTGATTGACGATCATTGTCAGGAAACCATGTGTTGGAGGTCTTTCATCGCTACTATATTTGATAATAAATAGTGTTTTTACAATAATCTGACAATCGCTAGTTTCCATGAATAGGTTAATCAGTCATTGAACCCCTGATTGTGTGCCTTGTGGGTACTGTCATGTGCATGAGTATCTTAGAGGATGTGGTTCACTGATGCCCCTGTTTGTTCATGGCATGATCTTGTAAACACTGTATGCATGTACAGCACTAAGGCCTAATGTCATGTGACACTGTTGTGATGGCGCAATAATACATGTCATGACACTAAAGTGTATCAGGGTACTAGACATAAAGTGTATCAGGGTACAAGATATATAGTGTATCAGGTTACTACATGTATTGTGTATCAGGGTACAACATATAGTGTGTCAGGGTACTATACATATAGTGTATCAGGTTACTACATGTATTGTGTATCAGGGTACTACATATAGTGTATCGGGGTACTAGACATATTGTGCCAGAGTGTACTATATGTGTAGTGTATCAGGGCACTACAAGTATAGTGTATAAAGGAACTACATCTGGTGACTTGGTTGATGAATGTCATCGTCACCGTATCAATTGCGTGCCAATTGCGTGGATCGATGTTCATGGTGTCAATCACTGGGTTCTCTGGTCCAGACTTGATAATTTACAGACCGTCGTGGGCGGTGTTAAACAACAAACAAACAAACATACATACAAAGTGTATCAGCGTGCTTCATCTATAGTGTATCAGGGTACTACATATATAGTGAATCTGCGTACTGCATATATTGAGTGAGTGAGTGAATTGGGTTTAACGCCGCTTTTACCAGTATTCCAGTTATATCACGGCGTGTCAGCTTAATGTGGGAGGAAAGCCCGAAGTGATCCAGGTCTCAGACGTTTACCACTTCGGTGAAACCCACGAGCACGGGCATGGTGCTGACAAACCTAGAAACATAATCGGGGCGAACCGGGATTCGAACCCACGATCATAGGTTTCTGGCGTGCCCAAGGGACGCAACTCAGCGAATGGCGGCGCCTTAAACGACTGGGCCACCCGTGCCCCACTACATATAGTATTGGGGTACGACATATACAGTGCATCAGGATACAGCATGAATAGTGTGTCAGGGTACTACATTTATAGTGTGTTAGTGTAATACATATATAGGTATCAGCGAACTACATATATAGTGTATCAGGATACAGCATGAATAGTGTGTCAGGGTACTACATTTATAGTGTGTTAGTGTAATACATATATAGGTATCAGCGAACTACATATATAGTGTATCAGGATACAGCATGAATAGTGTGTCAGGGTACTACATTTATAGTGTGTTAGTGTAATACATATATAGGTATCAGCGAACTACATATATAGTGTATCAGGATACAGCATGAATAGTGTGTCAGGGTACTACATTTATAGTGTGTTAGTGTAATACGTAATATAGGTATCAGCGAACTACATATTCAGTGCACCACGGTACAGCATGAATAGTGTGTCAGGGTACTACATATATATGTATCAGCATACTACATATTTAGTGTACCAGGGAACTGCATATGTCGTGTATCTACATGACATTGTATATTATAGCAAATAATGCCTACACTTTACACTGTAAGTGGACATATCTGGTTGAACCGCGCAAGACAACATTGATATGTATGCAAGAACCATAAATGGAATGATGTATAGTCTACGTCGATTGTCCATGTATTGTTGTGTTGTGCGTCGTGTTTTGGCGTGTATGTTTTGAATGCATGTATATGTGGAAACAAGGCAGCTGTTAGCCATCAAGGTGAGACTATTTATACTTTTTGTGGATTAAATAATCGATAGCTAAGACATGCCACATTCTCCTCCCATGCTTCAACGAGGAGATCGTGTATCAACTATTAAACTAACTGACTCTGCATACGGGGAAACATCGCTTATCGCAACTGTAACGTTCCTGTTGTAATCGTCAGCATTAACACCCCCGAATTGTCTGCATATGTTGCAACACGAGATTCTACACCTCATGTGCTTTGTCGCCATGTGTTGCAACACGAGATTCTACACCTCATGTGCTTTGTCGCCATGTGTTGCAACACGAGATTCTACACCACATGTCTGCATGTGTTGCAACACGAGATTCTACACCTCATGTGCTTTGTCGCCATGTGTTGCAACACGAGATTCTACACCACATGTCTGCATGTGTTGCTACCCACTCACTGTGTGTTTTGTGTGCATGTGTTGCAACAAGAAGTGCTACCCACTCACTGTGTGTTTTGTTTGCATGTGTTGCAACATGAGGGTCTGCGCCTCATGTGCTTTGTCTGCATGTTGCAACATGAAGTGCTACCCACTCACGAGGCGTTTTGTCTGCATGTGTTGCAACACGAGTTTCCACACCTCATGTGCTTTGTCTGCATGTTGCAACGCGAAGTGCTACCCATTCACAGGGATCTCTTTCTGCCAATATTGCAACACGAGGTTGTAAACACAATGTGCTCCGTGTGCCTATGTTGCAACACGTGACGCTCCATACTTTGTCATACGTGTGTCTATGGTGCAACATAGGGTGATGCACAGTGTCATTTGTGAGCAATATTGTAACATTTGTGTTCTCAATTAAGCGTATGAGTAGTGTTATGTTGTTGCGATGAGCCCACATCCCTGATAACTGAATTACAATATATAAACAAATTACTCTATGTCCATAATTCCTTCACATGTGAGACGAAGTGTAACGAACGACAGTTGGGAAAATATTTTATTATAGATCGCCGTCGGTAATCTTGCTCAGCTGTTGCAACAACGTTGTGTCTTCACATCGACCCATGTCCCACTTATACATGCTTACATATATTTATGTGTGTGTGCCTGAATAGCCGTCTATTTTCACTCACTGCGTAGTATGCATGGTGTTGATTGCCAGTAGTCGAGTCCATTGTCCTGTTGGCCATTGTGTTCTACTGCATGTGTGCTGTAATGGCGGAAGAACGTTTTACATTCATCTGTTTGTCTGATTTAAAAAAATACGTATTATAATTAATAAGAAGAGTACCGGATATACCATAACTGTGTATATGTCATGGTTATAAATATGTGTTTTTTTTAATTAATTTGGTCATTATCTACAAATATGAAGTTTCAATTACTACTACTGCTGCTGCTGCTGCTGCTAATCCATAATTTATTATTTTCAGACTCCTAAATATGAGGAAGAGATTGTCCTTGCAGATGACCAAAGGGCAGGTGGGTTACAAAAACGTACATGTACAATAGTTAGAATGGCTATATGAAGTGTAATATTGTACTCTGTTAAAAGGCTTCATTTTGCAACATGTCTTGTTTGTAAGCGTGAAATTACTGGAAGGTTGAAATATTGTCACCCAGGCTCGATTCCAAGCATGGCACACACTGGTGCATCCTCTCCAAAATGTTGCTAAAATATAACAAACATACGCTGGTTTGGGCTAAATATAAGGAAATGTTTCAAATGTATAAACATGATTAAAATCAATTACTGTATTACTGACTACAACGTGTAGCCAACACTAACACATGTAAAGCAATTACATATATATATATATGCAAGTGTCACTGTGGTTAAACTATATCTATGGTTGTCTTTTCAGAACTCAGAGAAGCATTCGGGTTGTTCGAGAAGGCAGGAAAGGGCAGAATTAATGTCCGTGATCTCGGGGCCCTGCTGAGGTCGCTGGGAATGAACCCATCAGAACGAGACTTGGAGGAAGCCAGGCATGAACTGGAGATCAGCGGGACCTTCTCTAGAGGTAAAGTCAAAATAATTGCATTTAACCACAGTGTATTGAGGATAAACCTGCGAATACAAACCCATATCAATGGAAGATAGCCACCCTGTCTTGGGAAGTAGGGGCGGTCGGGTAGCCTAGTGGTTAAAGCGTTCGCTCGTCACGCCGAAGACCCGGGTTCGATTCCCAACACGGGTAAAATGTGTGAAGCCCAATTCTGATGTCCCCCGCAGTGATATTGCTGGAATATTGCTAAAAGCGACGTAAAACCATACTCACTCACTCTTGGGGAGTAACCAAAGACCAAAGCTAAACAAATGTGCAAATACCCATGAGTATCTGCTTCATAGCTGTCCACTCATGTATGCGTGTGTACTGGGCTTTGTAACTGGGGTTAATAGAAACAGTGGTCAAACATGACAAAACTGATCTATAAAAAATACCTAATTAAAACAGACATTATGTACCACGATGCAATGTGTAATTCAACATTGTGTGTGTTGAGGTGTATAATTTAGATGGTGTTAGTTTTTGGATGACACAGTCAGTTACTTATCGACTGTGCGTGTCCTCGTCTGTAAATTGTGGTGATGAATTGTCATGCATGTAAATTGTACATAATTAAAGATGATGTCTGTCGAAAACATATCACGTGTCCCTGTCAGTTGCATTGTTCAATGGCGTCATACTCAGCAAAAGAGCTCCAATTTTCATTTGAATAAATGAAAAGGTTGGGCGCTTCACTGGATGGACATGTATCTGTTCTGTCTTCAGCTACTGTGCTTCACTTACAGATGTTGATGTGTTGTTGAGGTAAACAAAACTTGAAGAAGGGGCGTTTATTTGTATGTTAAGTCGGCATGGAGGTGAGGACTAATAAGAAGAATGTTTGTAACAGATTTTACAGAAATGTACAGATGGATAACTGTCATATTGCAAGAGACATGACGCACATGTATGTACTGGTAGCCTGAAAAAGGCTCACGACAATAGACATGCATTTGTATTATACTCAAACTCATTGAGTTATGAAATAATTTAGTTTGTAGGTTTTAGTATCAAGGTTTGGTATCGTTTATTACATATCTATCAATTAAATTGGTTTACTTCCTTGATTTCTGTCTGTAAACTTAAGGTTAAACATGTTCCAAAGGTTCAAGAAAATGGCGTAAGGATGTGACATTAAAACAAAAACCCGTCGGTGAATGTCAATCAGCGGTTGAGCATTTGAATTAAGTAGTAATCATCATAAAACTTGTATTTGTGCAGCGAACGACATTTTGTTACTTGATCAAAACCACCAGAAAGTTCAATTAACGTGTTCGGATTTTTTCATCATCTTTAGATTTATGTGTGCCATTTTCTTGATGAGCGAGAATGTATTTCATGTTCTAAATTGATGAATCTAGCGTGTAGAAGCTATTTTGTATCACATTCTTTGTCGAACATGAAGTAAAGGAACAGTGTCGCAAGCACGCTATCGGTGGGTCCGACATATGTCCTCTTCATCCATGTAGCGCGAGTGATCCACGTGCCGATCATCAATCAGTCTTCTGTTTCCACCTTGGTTTTCCTTCATGTTTACATTAGTCTCCGACACGTCTCCCCTTTGTTTTACCCTTTGTACCACCATTAGTCTTCCGGACATGTTTCCCCTGTGGTCTGCTCCTAGCACCCTCATTATCATTCCAACAAGTTTCATAACTGGACTTCCTCACACCATCAACCGATGTTTTACAGTAAGTCTCCCACTCATACTCTATTTAAAGGTCCGATTAGTCTCCATCGTAGAATCCATCAAAAGTCCTCACATTACCCACTTAGTCATCCGCCTATCTTGCTCCTCGGTCTTCCACATCCTTCTAGAATCCCCCCATTCGTCTTCCTCCTTATACTCTTCTTGGGTGAGTGAGTGAGTGAGTTGGGTTTAACGCCGCTTTTAACAGTATTCCAGTTATATCACGGCGTTTCAGCTTAATGTGGGAGGAAAGCTGTGTCTTCTTCCATAGTTTCCCCCAGGTCTGCCTCCTGGTATGCACACTTTGTCGTCCCTTCATAATTTCACAAAGGTCTACCTCCTGGTATGCACACTGTGTCTTCCTTCATAGTTTCCCCCTGGTCTACCTACTGGTATGCACACTGTGTCTTCTTCCATAGTGTCCCCCTGGTCTACCTCCTGGTATGCACACTGTGTCGTCCTCCATAATTTCACAAAGGTCTACCTCCTGGTATGCACACTGTGTCTTCCTTCATAGTTTTCCCCTGGTCTACCTCCTGGTATGCACACTGTATCTTCTTCCATAGTTTCCCCTGGTCTACCTCCTGGTATGCACACTGTATCTTCTTCCATAGTTTTCCCCTGGTCTACCTCCTGGTATGCACACTGTGTCTTCTTCCATAGTTTCCCCCTGGTCTACCTCCTGGTATGCACACTGTGTCTTCTTCCATAGTTTTCCCCTGGTCTACCTCCTGGTATGCACACTGTGTCTTCTTCCATAGTGTCCCCCTGGTCTACCTCCTGGTATGCACACTGTGTCGTCCTCCATAATTTCACAAAGGTCTACTTCCTGGTATGCACACTGTGTCTTCTTCCATAGTTTCCCCCTGGTCTACCTCGTGGTAAGCACACTGTATCTTCTTCCATAGTTTTCCCCTGGTCTACCTCCTGGTATGCACACTGTGTCTTCCTTCATAGTTTCCTCCTGGTCTACCTCCTGGTATGCACACTGTGTCTTCTTCCATAGTTTCCTCCTGGTCTACCTCCTGGTATGCACACTGTATCTTCTTCCATAGTTTCCCCCTGGTCTACCTCCTGGTATGCACACTGTGTCGTCCTCCATAATTTCCCCCTGGTCTACCTCCTGGTATGCACACTGTGTCTTCCTTCATAGTTTCCCCCTGGTCTACCTCCTGGTATGCACACTGTGTCGTCCTCCATAATTTCCCCCTGGTCTACCTCCTGGTATGTAGACTGTTTCTTCTTCCATAGTTTCCCTCCTGGTCTACCTCCTGGTATGCACACTGTGTCGTCCTCCATAATTTCCCCCTGGTCTACCTCCTGGTATGCCAGTGTGTCGTCATCCATAGTTTCCCCCTGGTCTGCCTCCTGGTATGCACACTGTGTCGTCCTCCATAATTACACAAAGGTCTACCTCATGGTATGCACACTGTGTCTTCCTTCATAGTTTCCCCCTGGTCTACCTACTGGTAAGCACACTGTGTCTTCTTCCATAGTCTCCCCCTGGTCTACCTCCTGGTATGCCCACTGTGTCTTCCTTCATAATTTCACAAAGGTCTACCTCCTGGTATGCACACTGTGTCTTCCTCCATACTTTCCCACTGGTCTACATCCTGGTATGCACACTGTGTCTTCCTTCATAGTTTCCTCCTGGACTAACTCCTGGTATGCACACTGTGTCTTCTTCCATAGTTTCCCCCTGGTCTACCTCCTGGTATGCACACTGTGTCTTCTTCCATAGTTTCCCCCTGGTCTACCTCCTGGTATATAGACTGTATCTTCTTCCATAGTTTCCCCCTGGTCTACCTCGTGGTATGCACACTGTGTCGTCCTCCATAGTTTCCCCCTGGTCTACCTCCTGGTATGCACACTGTGTCTTCCTTCATAGTTTTCTCCTGGTCTACCTCCTGGTATGTAGACTGTATCTTCTTCCATAGTTTCCCCCTGGTCTACCTCGTGGTATGCACACTGTGTCGTCCTCCATAATTTCCCCCTGGTCTACCTCCTGGTATGCACACTGTGTCTTCCTTCATAGTTTCCCCCTGGTCTACCTCGTGGTAAGCACACTGTATCTTCTTCCATAGTTTTCCCCTGGTCTACCTCCTGGTATGCACACTGTGTCTTCCTTCATAGTTTCCTCCTGGTCTACCTCCTGGTATGCACACTGTGTCTTCTTCCATAGTTTCCTCCTGGTCTACCTCCTGGTATGCACACTGTATCTTCTTCCATAGTTTCCCCCTGGTCTACCTCCTGGTATGCACACTGTGTCGTCCTCCATAATTTCCCCCTGGTCTACCTCCTGGTATGCACACTGTGTCTTCCTTCATAGTTTCCCCCTGGTCTACCTCCTGGTATGCACACTGTGTCGTCCTCCATAATTTCCCCCTGGTCTACCTCCTGGTATGTAGACTGTTTCTTCTTCCATAGTTTCCCTCCTGGTCTACCTCCTGGTATGCACACTGTGTCGTCCTCCATAATTTCCCCCTGGTCTACCTCCTGGTATGCCAGTGTGTCGTCATCCATAGTTTCCCCCTGGTCTGCCTCCTGGTATGCACACTGTGTCGTCCTCCATAATTACACAAAGGTCTACCTCATGGTATGCACACTGTGTCTTCCTTCATAGTTTCCCCCTGGTCTACCTACTGGTATGCACACTGTGTCTTCTTCCATAGTCTCCCCCTGGTCTACCTCCTGGTATGCCCACTGTGTCTTCCTTCATAATTTCACAAAGGTCTACCTCCTGGTATGCACACTGTGTCTTCCTCCATACTTTCCCACTGGTCTACATCCTGGTATGCACACTGTGTCTTCCTTCATAGTTTCCTCCTGGACTAACTCCTGGTATGCACACTGTGTCTTCTTCCATAGTTTCCCCCTGGTCTACCTCCTGGTATGCACACTGTGTCTTCTTCCATAGTTTCCCCCTGGTCTACCTCCTGGTATATAGACTGTATCTTCTTCCATAGTTTCCCCCTGGTCTACCTCGTGGTATGCACACTGTGTCGTCCTCCATAGTTTCCCCCTGGTCTACCTCCTGGTATGCACACTGTGTCTTCCTTCATAGTTTTCCCCTGGTCTACCTCCTGGTATGTAGACTGTATCTTCTTCCATAGTTTCCCCCTGGTCTACCTCGTGGTATGCACACTGTGTCGTCCTCCATAATTTCCCCCTGGTCTACCTCCTGGTATGCACACTGTGTCTTCCTTCATAGTTTCCCCCTGGTCTACCTCCTGGTATGCACACTGTGTCGTCCTCCATAATTTCCCCCTGGTCTACCTCCTGGTATGTAGACTGTATCTTCTTCCATAGTTTCCCTCCTGGTCTACCTCCTGGTATGCACACTGTGTCGTCCTCAATAATTTCCCCCCTGGTCTACCTCCTGGTATGCACACTGTGTCTACCTTCATAGTTTCCTCCTGGACTAACTCCTGGTATGCACACTGTGTCGTCCTCCATAATTTCACAAAGGTCTACCTCCTGGTATGCACACTGTGTCTTCCTTCATAGTTTCCTCCTGGTCTACCTCCTGGTATGCACACTGTATCTTCCTTCATGGTTTCCCCCTGGTCTACCTCCTGGTATGCACACTGTGTCTTCTTCCAAAATGTCCCCTTGGTCTACCTCCTGGTATGCACTCTGTGTCTTCTTCCATAGTTTCCCCCTGGTCTACCTCCTAGTATGCACACTGTGTCTTTCTCAATAGTTTCCCCCTGGTCTACCTCCTGGTATGCACACTGTGTCTTCTTCCATAGTTTCCCCCTGGTCTACCTCCTGGTATGTACACTGTGTCTTCTTCCATAGTGTCCCCCTGGTCTACCTACTGGTATGCACACTGTGTCTTTCTACATAGTTTCCCCCTGGTCTACCTCCTGGTATGCACACTGTGTCTTCCTCCATACTTTCCCACTGGTCTACCTCCTGGTATGCACACTGTGTCTTTCTCCATAGTTTCCCACTGGTATACCTCATGGTATGAACACTGTGTCTTCCTCCATACTTTCCCACTGGTCTACCACCTGGTATGCACACTGTGTCTTTCTCCATAGTTTCCCCCTGGTCTACCTCCTGGTATGCACACTGTGTCTTCCTCCATACTTTCCCACTGGTCTACCTCCTGGTATGCACACTGTGTCTTTCTCTATAGATTCCCCCTGGTCTGCCTTCTGGTATGCGCACTGTATCTTCCTCCATAGTTCCTCTGGGAATGTATGCTTTGTCTTCCCCCTGCCCCTGGTCTTCCTTCCTTCAGGTATGCACACTGGAGACAAACAGGTGCCGTGTGTGTGAATACAGAGGACTAATCGGACAGACTGTGGTGTGTTGGTGAATACAGAGGACTAATAGGACAGACAGTGATGTGTGGGTGAACACAGGGGACTAATAGGACAGACAGTGATGTGTGGGTGAACACAGGGGACTAATAGGACAGACAGTGATGTGTGGGTGAACACAGGGGACTAATAGGACAGACAGTGATGTGTGGGTGAACACAGGGGACTAATAGGACAGACAGTGATGTGTGGGTGAACACAGGGGACTAATAGGACAGACAGTGATGTGTGGGTGAACACAGGGGACTAATAGGACAGACAGTGATGTGTGGGTGAATACAGAGGACTAATAGGACAGCAAATGATATGTGGGTGAATACAGAGGACTAATAGGACAGATAGTGATGTTGGAGAATACCGAGGACTAATCGGACAGACAGTGATGTGTGGGTGAATACAGAGGGCAAATAGGACAGACAGTGATGTATGGGTGAATACAGAGGACTAATAGGACAGAGAGTGATGTTGGTGAATACAGAGGACTAATCGGACAGACAGTGATGTTGGTGAATGCAGAGGACTAATATGACAGAGAGTGATGTTGGTGAATACAGAGGACTAATATGACAGATAGTGATGTGTGGGTGAATACAGTGGACTAATAGGACAGACAGTGATGTGTGGGTGAATACAGAGGACTAATAGGACAGAGAGTGATGTTGGTGAATACAGAGGACAAATAGGACAGACAGTGATGTTGGTGAATACAGAGGACAAATAGGACAGACAGTGATGTTGGTGAATACAGAGGACAAATAGGACGGACAGTGATGTGTTGGTAAATACAGAGGACTAATCGGACAGACAGTGATGTGTGGGTGGATACAGAGGACAAATAGGACCGACAGTGATGTTGGTGAATACAGAGGACAAATAGGACAGACAGTGATGTTGGTGAATACAGAGGACTAATATGACAGACAGTGATGTGTGGGTGGATACAGAGGACAAATAGGACAGACAGTGATGTTGGTGAATACAGAGGACTAGTAGGACAGAGAGTGATGTTGGTTAATACAGAGGACAAATAGGACAGACAGTGATGTGTGGGTGAATACAGAGGACTAATAGGACAGACAGTGATGTGTTGGTTGATACAGAGGACAAATAGGACCGACAGTGGTGTTGGTGAATACAGAGGACAAATAGGACACACACAGTGATGTGTGGGCGAATACAGAGGGATAATAGGACAGACAGCGATGTGTGGGTGGATACAGAGGACATATATTACAAACAGCGATGTCGGGATGACAAGTAGACCATATTGATACAAGTCTTAATGTTTAGTATATGTTTGGACTTGATGTTAGTCGTCAAGCTGAAAAGTATTGAAGACATCTGCACAGCACAATATAAACGACAAAACCTTTAATTTTTCCATTAGGGGATAAAAACATGCGGAACAACAATTCTTCTTTTTACGGATATTATCAGCTATATTTTGTCTTCTACAAGGCGTCTTATTTGTCAGAACGTCACGTGGCAGATATAAAGATTAAAAATGTTTAAAAGTGTGAACATAAACAAACACATTCACGTGCCAACTCTTTCTTATAACAATGATGCAAAGGCTGATGTAACGTTTGGCATTAAAGTCCCTTCTCCCAGAACATTGTTAACAGATTTCCTTAAAAACGAAATCCAATTAAGTCATCCTTGTTGATGTGACATCGGTAATACCGTCTTAATTTCGTGATTACAGAAATAGAAGGATTAAGTATACTGGAAGGTAGATTAGACTTGCGATAGTCGCTGCTTTAAGGTATATGAGACAATCCACTGACAGCGGTTAAACCCTATCTTAAGGGAATCACGGGTCTATATATAGAACGTCAAGTGTTAGCTTTCAGTGAAAATGAACTCAGAGAGATTTATCGGGGAAACCGAAGGGCAGCAAGAAAAGCGCAGCTGTTTGTGGAAGGGAAATATAAAGCCTTCAACTGGCTTTGATGTTGCCGGACTTCCTGATATTTCTGGGACGTGTGTGTCTTCAGCCTGGCTCCGTAGCTCAATCAATCGTCCCAGGGTTTGTTCGGCTCATGACAAACTGCCATCATGGTTACTCTGAAGAGAGGACAAACTGCCTTTTATGTCGGTTCAAACAAACTAATTTGTTTTGATGGGAATGATATGCTTTAAAGTATCGTATTGACAATATGTTTTTTTCTTCAAAATCACGGCTAAATAATGGGGAAGACTCGAACTGGATTCTACTTGTATGTGATGGAACTTTAAGAAAGCTTTTCTTGTTAATTCAAGTTTGAACCATTCGATTACCAATCCGAGAATAGTAAAGCTGTCGGTGATATTAAGATGCATTTTCTTGTGAGTCTGTTGGTGTTTGTTGATGTGTTTTGTGGCATTTTCCCTGTTTCTTGTGACAGAGATATGATGTTTGAGATTTTTGTTTATTATGAACTACGGGCCTAGCGTTTTGAATGTGTCGATTGACTTAGATATTAGTTTTCCCAAATATGCTTTCAATATTCTGTATCTGACGTGAACTGCTGTCAAGCATAGTCCTCTGTTATATCGTCAACTCGTTTTGGTTTAGTGAGTTCCGTTATTCGACGCTTTTAGTAATATTTCAGCCCTTTTACGGAGAGTGGATGAGCTTCACATATTGTTCCCATATAGGGAATCGAACTCTTTCTTTGATCTGACAATCCAAAGCTTTTACCTCCAGATTAACCCACTTATACCTAAACGGTTTGAGGACCGCGTCCGTTGTCTAGGGGTAGAGGGTCCGCCCGGAGAGCGGAAGGTCCGGGGTTCGATCCCCGACCGCGTCATACCAAAAGACGTTAAAAGATGATACTTGTTGTTACCCTGTCTGGCGCTCGGCATTAAGGGGCTAAAACAAAGACTGGTCGGCTCGGAGTCAGTATACTGTTTCTGAGTGGGGTATTCGTGTTAAACTGCGGCATGGTATCTCAGTGAGCTAGCACTATAAATCGGCATCAGTCCGGACTAGTACAAGCAGCCACACAAACGCACACACGTACATGCACGTCGCTATATAAGTGCAATAATCTTGGACGCGACGTTAAACCCCATTTCACTTCACTTCACCTAAACGATTTGTACCTCCCACATGAAGCGGAATATTGTAGAAACACCTTTATGGTGAGCCAGAAGGTGTCTCCGGTGTTTACAACTCATCTGGTTCTGTGAACACACGAGGGGATCTCGCCTCCCACCTGTACAGACTCTTATCATGTGACTATCATACAGATTTGAAGTCCCTTAGTGGCGGACGTTAAAATTTACGAATTTCTAATTTCAGCACGAGGGACGGTGTCGTTTGCTGACGTCGAGCGCTATATTGCGAGGCGGGGCGGAGTGTTTTTAGGTTGTGATGAGGAAGAAGATATTCACGCAGCCTTCCAAGTACTGGATCGAAATGGAAATGGGCGGATTGATATTGATGAGTTCCGGCATTTTATGACCACGATGGGTGAGCGCATGACTCCCGAGGAAGTTGAGGAACTACTTTCGGTGGCAAAAAAGGACGGCGAGGCTTTCATTGAATACAAAGGTAAAAAAAACAAAAATAACCATGTACTGACACATGGTAATATATTTTTGTAGTTTAGTTGTTCAAAGACGCACTATCAATATTCAAGCATTGATATTATGGCGGTCTGCAAATAATCGAGTCTGGACCCAGTCAGTATCATTGAAACGCAATCAACCAAATGGTCGAGAATAACCACCAGATCCATTAAGACGCCTGGCATAGGTTGTTGGGGACCAATTTGTACCCGGAAGTCCCACGGTGACCTTTTTAAAGTGTATCTAGAGGATGCCGGTACCATTCTGTCAGAACATGACACCTGAATGAGTGATGGTTAAATGGAGGAAAACAACATTTTTTTCAATTTTAATTTACATAAAACATAAAATAGGTATCATTTTTTTTGCAGCTCAGTTCATTAAACTATCAAGTGAAATACATCTTAATGTAATCATCAAGTCCAGTGACCTCTGATTGATGACTGTACTTGTGCCGTATCAGTAATTACTATATGGCGTGGGTAGGTGGGTAGGTTTCAATTAGTTTTTTTTAACTGAGACGTTTGTTTTAGTTCTGCATTTTTTCATAACAGATATTAATAGAATACATAACATGTTGTAGTGTAGCTTAAGCAAGTCATGCTATATTTATGGAATCTGTCGATATTCCCTGGCAGTACAACCGATATCAAGTTGTACACATTAAGTAAACTTTGAAGCATCAGTATTCTCCCCGCGAAAGGTCACGTAGTGGTCCTACTGTTTGATACCAGACTGCAAGAATGGATTTTAGAGTGATACTTAGCCAGGCGTTTATAATCGTAATGTCGAAGGTCCGTTCCGTCGTTGCTCAATATAACTCATCTGATTATGAATTAAGCACGAAGTAATATTTCAGACTTTGAAAAGCCAACGGTCGCCTTGATCCATCGGTTTTATGATGGATCTAAACCAAGCGTAGGAAATAAATTCGATAATCGAAATGTCATCAAACAATCCATGTAGCTTGGACATACTTTAAGTCACAGGGGGTCATTCCACGTGTGAAATCAGACATCCAATTATCGCTGATTACTAGTTATAACGCGTTGCTTCATATTGTTTCCACTACGTTCCGTATGCTACAAATGCTTTTTTAGGAATTTCAAATGAACTACTTTTATACATAATTCCTGGGAACATTTCACTGTAAACGTCCAATCAGCTTTGAACTCGTCATTACCTGGTAGGGTTCCTCTCTATAACTGTTTTGGAGACACTTTCTTATGACGATGTAGAGCATGCTACACTCATTCTCATTAGATACCATTTTCGCGTGTTTCGTAAAAATGGTATCTAACGAGAAGGGGTGTGGTATTTTATATATTACCCACGTTAAATATTTATTTCAGTGTAAATACATAACAAGTTTCGTTAAGACAATCTGAAACCGGTTACAAATATGGTTGCGCATGAATTTTAACATTTCTATTCATACGCATTAACAATTGTTCCTGCTGTTGTGGGGGGCACGGGTGGCCAAGTCGTCTAAGGCGCCGCAATTCGCTTTGCAGAGTTGCGTCCCTTGGGCACGCCAGAAACCTATGATTGTGGGTTCGAATCTCGGTTTGCCCCGATTAAGTTTCCAGGTTTGTCAACACCATACCCGTGTTCGTAGGTTTCACCGAAGTGGTAAACGTCTGAGACCTGCATCCCTTCGGGCTTTCTTCCCACAATAAGCTGACACGCCGCGATAACTTGAATACTGTTAAAAGCTGTTGTTTGTGCAGACATGACACCAGCAACGCTTAAGATCTTTATTTAAGACTTTCTACAACTAATGGTAATTCAAAGTTGAAACGCATTGTTGTTAGTACGCAGGACAGATATAAGAAAAATGAAAAAGTGAAACAGCGCCGCGCTTTGAATCTCGGACCAACAGTGAATTGTCGGGATCACGGCGGTTCAATAAAATTGTCACCTGACAAATCTAATAAATCGAACCAATTTTATTGAACCGCCGTGATCCCGACAATTCACTGTTGGTCCGATTTATTAGATTTGTCAGGTGAAATTATATCCTGTCCGTATAGTTTTGGAAGAGGGAAATCGCGAGTCCTCGCCTTAGAAGTTTATGTTTACAGTACGAGTCTATGGGTCACCACCAGAATAGTGAGTGAGTGAGTGAGTATGGTTTTACGCCGCTTTTAGCAATATTCCAGCAATATCACGGCGGGGGACACCGGAAATGGGCTTCACACATTGTACCCATGTCGGGAATAGAACCCGGGTCTTCGGCGTGACGAGCGAACGCTTTAACCACTAGGCTACCCGACCGCCCCACCACCAGAATAAGAAAAGACACCCGTTTTCTGCACACAGCATTTTACGCAAGAGATGAATAGGGAATGTTTTGGGTCGTGAAAACAGAAGTCAGGCACACTTTCATAATGTTTAAATACATTACTGCTCTTTTTTTACCGATTCCACCAAGATGCACAACCGTGATCTGGTAAAAATGACTCTATGGTCTGTGAGTGAATGAGTTGAGTTCTACGACGCATTTAGCATCATTCTTCCACTATCACGACAGTGGACACCCGAAATGGGTTTCACACATATCGTGGAATTGAACCCGGGTCTTCTGCGTGATAACCGATCGCTAAAACCTCTCGGCTGTGCCAAGGCCCCTGGTCAGAATGGCATTGACTTAAACTCACATATGGTAATTACCATATGTACCTATTGGTGATTGAAACATTACGTTCAGTATAGGAACTGATGTCATGATCTATACTTACAGAAGAACGTTGTCGTAGCTTCTGCAAGGGTTCATGGGGAACTCAGTGATCTAGGGCTGTCGAATTCTGTTCGGAGTTGTGCCCCTTACCGTTCTAGGATTCTTTAATCTCGTGTTCGACTCGGAGATTCGTCCGGTGGGGCTCGCTCTGTGAGCACCTCACCTGTGCTCGTGGGATCCAACATTTTGATAAACGTTTTCGACACCACATACTTTTTATCGTTCATAAGCCGACATGAAGTGATATAAGTGAAATATCGTTAAACTGAACAGCAGCGTTAAATCCTAATCACTCATCCACATGTATCATCATTCTGCACTTGCTGAAATCAGTACTCAACTGTCGGGCAAAAGAATGCATAGCACACGCCCATATTTGATGGCTTAAAATGAAACAAACAAGAAATGGTTATTCGATGGTGAAGTATTTGATACGGATATCATAGCTCAGTTTTGGACTTTAATTTTGGAGTGTTTCGGAGAACTTTTGCAGCCTAGTAACGTTTTGATAAAATTTGTACGTTTTTGGTCAAATCCAATTTTCAAGTTTATACTTTCTTTTGCTCGGCAGCATTTTTCTGAAGAGTTTAGAATGTTTGAAAATTGACAATTGTAATGAAAATAATTGCCACCAATATGTTACAAACATGACATTGTATGGCAGAATGTTAGTTCCATGTTGAATTCAAAGTAGATTCTAATTGTGTTTATGACATTTGTGATTTAGAAACACAAAAGTTAATCTAATATCTTTTCGTGGAGGAACTAAAGTGCATCGGTGTTTAACTGAGCTGCCGATAGGACCCTTGGGTGTCATTATTATTATTAAATAAACATTTTAAATTCAAATTCATCAAACTAAAAGCGACAATTTCCTCCGCAAAATCATAAGACATCTCTGCTGAAAGTAGCGCCCATTTACAATTCCGACTATATCATCAGCATATGTGTATTAATAACTGTCTATCACTATCAAAAAGTTACGACACCAGGTATTCGCAAAAAATTAAGTTTGTGTTATGGCGAACTATGGGTTATATTCATTCCCAATTAAAAATGAGTTGTGACTTTTATTTGTTACGGCATCAAGCTGTCCTGTGGTATCTTGTGTCGTTGAATGTATGCAGTATAGGCAGCAATCTGCCAAGTCATCTTGTCCACATCATCACAATCATTATAAATTGTGAGTTATCAATAAATTCCCATGGCCACAGTCACGTTTACTTTCATTATGTTCTGTCTCTCACATTTGCAGACATTGTGAGAGCCCTGCAGAGCGCCAACACGTGATATCATTTCCCTTCAAATCGACTAATCTCAGTCCGCACTTTTCACTCACCGAGTGAACTCCTTTGGCCCGGACCGGAAACTGCCTTTGGAACGGAAGTAGTTTTGGTGTAGATGGCGCCCCCAGCCTCGAAGTGGCGCAGGGACAGCGAGAGACAAGTGGGCCCTGACTGGGGATAACTTGGCGTGACAGTTTCATCATTCCAGGGCACAATGTGGTACACCTACGTTTATTTCAAGACGTTTGTATGAAGATTTCAAGCATTTTTCTTCCAAAGGAGGACTTGGCTTTGGTGTGATCACGGTTTTTGCAATACATTATATTTCATATTTATCTATTTTTTCACTTTTAACCAACTTGTTAATGATACTGGGTATTTTATTTCTCCCCACCTGTGTTTCGTCTCACCATATGGTATAAGGGTCCCCCTGGACGTTCCAAACATATCATGCACTATGTATAGAAGTGACCTTGTGTTTTATTGCGATTGGTGTTCGAGCGGGCTCGAACCCTGACAATGAACAGTTGTACTCGTTTTTTACACTTTTTACCAGAGATATTCCATATGTACACAGAGCACACGCGACTACATGAACACATAGTTATAACAGTCGACTACGTATATCAAGTATATGCAAGTATATATTTTACAGTCAGACTGTGAAATTAGTCATTTCATGAAATGAAACATTATACACGCATATAAAGCTCTACGCTTCATACATATTTTGCCTGATGTTGGATGCTATTCTGTGACAAAGTATTTTATTCAAAAATTCCCATACAACACGCTTCATTAAAGTAAAGTAATAGGATTGAATAATTTGATACCTTTATGAATATGATATACAGTTATATTCAGCACAAGGTTATACATTATGGAGTCACCTGGGCGTTTTTGCCTTACGTATTCTACTATTTTATCACCAACGTAGATATAGATCCACATAAGTGTTTACCTTGATGTTCACTCTCTGCACCCACACAGTCTGGTGTGGACATGGACCTTCTTTTGGACAGCCACTTTTATGCATTGAAGTAACCCCTGAACACCCACGGCCTGTCCTATAGCATACTTCAGTATACACACTGGCATTCTGCCATACACTATTTCATGATTTTACTATCAATCATATATGACCAGATCTGCTGAATGTGATAGGGTTCGTTTCTCATAAATCAACAAATTGATATTTGTTTCATGTAAACCGTTGCAGGACTCGATGTATACGTCTTCCACTCTACATAAGTCAATACCTATAACATCATGGTTCTACTCCCTACCTTCGATCGCAATACTGGTCTGTGTATACTACTCAATTTACTTAGGGACAGGGCCGATAACTTCCAAATTGTAAGTCATCAAGTCTTTGAAAGGTATTTAGAAGTGATACATACGAGGAAGAGAAAGTATGGTTATCAACTGCTTTATTGTGAGGAACACAACGTTTCGGGGTGAATCCTTGAATGTTCTCTGCCTCATGGCATTTATTCACCTGATGAAGGAGTAAGAATATACTCCGAAACGCTGTGTTCCTCATAATAATGAAGTCGACATCCATATTTTTTGCCATTGTGTAAGCGGTGTATGGCATGCGATAGGACAACTTCTATCAAACGCTGATTCGTGCAATGTTCCTGTACTTTGAGAATGGTATTAATTATGGATATTATTGTTTTGTCGTTTTAAGAATCTTTAAGAGAGATCTTTCAGCATTGATAGAAGAAGAGTTGTTTGTCAGTGATCATATGGCAATAGTTAGAACTCGTTCAGTGTAACATGACCGAATTCGAAGCTATCGCCACGAATGTCATTGTGTCTCAAAATACATTCAAACTCATTGCAAACGTGTTTTTCAAAAATGCATTGAAGTCTCATTTAAAGCTCAAGTTCGGTTGAATTCATTGTCGAACCGAGTTTATATTAAGAAAAAAGCAGTTAAGAAGTCAAAAGCTGACACGTTTTCAGTATATATCTTATTTAGTGTGCAAGGACTCATAATGGCGATTTATTTTCAAAGAAAAATACTGTGACCCCACTGAGAGGGTTGAACTCATGTGTAGGTCTGGCGCAGGGCATTGGTACATACAGTGAACCCTTGTTGATCCGGAATTTATGGTTCCAGATTTGCAAATGTATGGATTAACGAGAGACGGATATGTGTAAATGAAACATTAAGCATATGTACACATTCCCAACACTAGATGACCTGTAGGAGGGGTAGCAGGGCCGTACTAACAGGATTCCACTGAACATGCACTCTCTTAAAGTGGTACCTGAAGACAATGAATGTTAATCTGTTGTGAACTTTTATTCAATATCAGGGTTTGTCAATTTGACGAGAAGTCATTATGTAATCTCCGGACATTGGTTCGCCGACCAACAAAGCTGTGTTGAACGTTTAGAATTGAGATAAGTTCTTCGAATAGTTCCTTCCCAGCAGCTAACAGTCGTGTGACATCCCAGAGCTGTTGTGACTCAATTGGCTGAGATGGCTGGAAATTCAATAAAAGACATACGTTATTTCTGTTGGTGTAGACACAACTCGCTGGCGGGTCAGTTCATGTCTATTAAACGATATCAACTATTGTACAAAAGAGTGACGTGTAGCCTAATATAGGGGCTTTGGGTATCTTTCTATTTTTCCACGTCTTTACGAAGGGTAAGTTCAAACATTCCATTGGAAGCACAGACGTGTCCACTCACATCGTACTTACAATATTTGCCTTCGCTCGTTAAAGTAATGATTTGTTTTAACTGAACTGGAGAGTGTAAGACAATGGTCCGGTTCAGTCATGTTTAGAGAGTCATAACGAATGAAGGTAAATATGTTTGAAACTGGTCGTTCAGTCTGAAAACACCTTTTATCACCATGCCAATCACGGGTATGCATTCATTGACACAATCCCTGAGTGGCAGGAAGATGATATGACGCTGATAGTCATGGTCAACTTACAACGCCTGAAGTATCTCATGGCAACTGGGGTTAACTATTACAAACATACGTTTCTTAGAAAAGGATGACGCCAGTTAGTGATAACGCAGTCTGAGATGAAAGGTGGAGTCAGACTTGACCAGTGCGTGCATTACAACATTTATTGAAATTTTACACTTTCACTTGTTTATTTATATTATTATTCATTTTTCAATGTAAATAAATTATTTTCCTTGACTTTGTGCTTGGTGTTATTCTGTATTCTGTGTACTGTAGGTACATTGATTCCATACAATGTCCGTACGGTGGCTGGCGGTGTACAAATAGTGATAGTCATAGCGACACACACCACTGCTCAAAAGGTGACAAAGTGTTTGACAGACAATATACACACGTGATTGACAATCAATTCACACAGTGATTGATACCGAATGTACACAATGCGATTGATACAATGTGTACACCAATGATTGATAACCAATATACATAGGATTGATACCTAATATACACACAGGATAGATACACACTATACACCCATGAATTATATACAATATACACCCATGATTTATACACCAAATATGCACGTGATTGTCATACAATGTACACACGTGGTTGATACACAATATACACAGAGGATAGATACACACTATACACACATGAATTATATACAATATACACCCATGATTTATACACCAAATATGCACGTGATTGGCATACAATGTACACACGTGGTTGATACCCAATATACACAGAGGATAGATACACACTATACACACATGAATTATATACAATATACACCCATGATTTATAAACCAAATATGCACGTGATTGGCATACAATGTACACACGTGGTTGATACCCAATATACACAGAGGATAGATACACACTATACACACATGAATTATATACAATATACACCCATGATTTATAAACCAAATATGCACGTGATTGGCATACAATGTACACACGTGGTTGATACCCAATATACACAGAGGATAGATACACACTATACACACATGAATTATATACAATATACACCCATGATTTATAAACCAAATATGCACGTGATTGGCATACAATGTACACACGTGGTTGATACACAATATACACAAGTGATTGATGCACAATATACTCACGTGATTGACACACACTGTATGACAATAATATGCACGAGATGACACTCACAATTTACATATGCATATAGTCGTGTAGATGCATTTGCGCACCCACCCGAACTTAATTGAGTGCACTATTCAACTGTGCACCTTTTGTGCGCCCACCTACCCTATAAGGTGTGCAAGATGTAACTGTGCACCTTTTGTTAGCCCATCTACCTTATTAGGTGTGCACTATGCAACTGTGCACCTTTGTGCGCCCACCCACCCTATAAAGGCCAGAAACCTATGATTGTGGGTTCGAATCCAGATTCGCCCCGATCATGTTTCTAGGTCTGTCAGCACCATACCCGTGCTCGTGGATTTCGCCAAAGTGGTAAACGTCTGAGACCTGCATCACTTCGGGCTTTCCTCCCACATGAAGCTAACACGCAGTGATAAAACTGGAATAATGTTAAAAGTATCGTTAAACCCAACTCACTCACCCCTGCTGTTGTGTGTGCAAACATGACATCAGCCATGCTTAGGATCTTTATTTAAGACTTTCTACAACTTGTTGTTCGTACGCTCACTATAAGTGTGCACTATTCAACTGTGCACCTTTGTGAGCCCACCCATCCTATAAAGTGTGCCCTATTCAGCTGTGCACCGTTGTGCGCCCAACCACCATATAAAATGCGCCCACATACCCTATAAAGTGTGCCATATTCATCTGTGCACCTTTAACCCTTTCAGATGAAAGGTAGATGCGTACCATATTCAATATGTAGGTTGATTTGACTGAAATTTGTACTAGATTTTTTATAATAATTTTAATGGACCTTCATTTCCATCAATAAATATATGACTTGTTATGATTGCATGGTTAGGGAGATTTAAAAAACATGCTTTCAAAGTGCATCTTGGATGGTATTTTGAAACACATTAGCATCAGCCAATTACACGGAACGTACATTCTGAATCAGTATGGAGACACAATGTCCGTTGCAAACGTTTTAACAGCTATAAATTCGGTCCTTCTGCCACATGTACATATATGGTGCATATAGGCCGCCTAACCCTAAGCCTAAACACTTCCACAAATGCTTTAGGTTTTACCTACATAAATATCCGTACAAAGAGAGAATAATTGTTGGGTCAAGCAAATGTACCACCAAATCTCTGTCTCAAAGATAAACCCTAATCCTTAATACAATCAAGGAAGGACTTTCTTTGTACTCGTAGAAAGTATTTGAGACAAGTGAAATTTCTGCCGTATCAATTCACAAAAACTCAGAGGATTTGTTTGACTTTTTACAATCTCCAATTATGTCAAAGCATTAGATTTTTCAACTTGGTACACCACTGTCTCACATGACAACTTAATGGAAACCGTCATTCTTTGATCCATGGGGCTTTTGTTACAAAACGTGGTGGCCATATTTATATCTTATGAGTATGGAGAGGGTTTTGTCGCTTTTATTCACGCCAATGACATTAACATTTGCTTATTGAAATCGCATATTTTGAAATAATTACTGTAAATCGTGAAATTAAATGCGAAAAATGCGAGTGGTCTTTGCTCGCATTAATAAACATCGCATTTATATCAACATTAAGACATTTTGGATAGCAGAAATACCAACTTAGACATACGCTGAAAACAAACAACTATGTATTCCACATCACTGTTTATTGAGCACCACTTGTAACAAGTATATAAACAATGTCATTCAAGCACTAATTACATCCTGTGAATTGTCAGTGCTGGGGCCAAGACAAGAGTTCTACTCACTTTTGTCATCACTGATCACACCTGCAAGTCCAGACAGACGCCACCCACCCAACACAGTGTCTTGGTTCTTTGCGACTGCGTCAAATGCCGACACGAGCCAACACGCATGTATTGTTTTAGCGAAGTACTCTACTCAGCGCCAATAAAAGGTGCTATTTGGTGTGTGATTGGATTAATATCATATTTAGTATCATAATTAAACATCCTTTTCAAAAGAAAACATAATCGATAAAAAGCGTGCGCTTTGTCTGTATAAACACCAAATTGTGCAAAACAAGCTCCTACGTACACATGGCAATATGACGAATGTTGTTTCCTGCGTCAACGACGCATGTTTACCATTATTATCGGTATATCTGAATCAATGAAGATAAAAGCCGAATTAATTTCTCATTAAATGTCTTATATACAATATAAACACAATCACATACCTCAAGCAGAGTCATTGTCTTGTGTTTCCTTGGCAACAAACCAACAAAAAATATGCAAAGACGACGATAACCAAAGTGATTAAATATAGGACATAATATAATCTCTCTGTGCAGCATCCTGCCATCATGGAACGAGCGGGAGCTGGGATGTCTTCATCAGATTGTGATCAGACGCAGTGCATATGCATAGAAGGCAATAATGACGGGGGCATTGTGACGGTCCTTTTGATGTGTTTGTACTTAAAAACGTATTATGAAGCTGTTGTCATAAAATCCCAAATCAATTCTTATTGGTCATATCTGTTGAAATGATTTAGCAAGAACCATCTGACAAACAGCATTTGAAATCACGTCGCTTTATCGCGATGCGTTTCACAAAGCACATATTGCAGGAAGGGAAACTGACGTTGGTACTGTACATTTGAACTACGTCAGGCAGAAGTTGCTTGACTTGATTCTGAACCTTAGTTACATACACCGGACAGGGATTTTTGGAACTGATACATAATCACATATTTGGTTGGTTGGTTGGTTTTGTTGTTTAACGCCGCACTCGGCAATATTCCACCTATATGACAACGGTCTCTAAATAATCGAGTCTGGACCAGACAATCCAATGGTTAATATCATGAGCATCGATCCACGAAATTGGGATCGATGACAAGCATCAACCAAGTCAGCGAGCCTGACCACCCGATCCCCTTAGTATCCTTTTAATCATAGCTAAATACTCAAGACAGAGATTGCTGGACTTCTTCATGTGCCGTAGCTGAAACCTCCACGTAGGAATTGCTGTACGTGATACCATATTTGGTAATGCTAATTACCTCAGACGGGGTTTATTGGACTTGTTGGGGGCACGGGTAGTCCAGTTGCCTAAGGCGCCGCGATTCGCTGTGCAGAATTGCGTCCCTTGGGCACGCCAGAAACCTATGATTGCTGGTTCGAATCCCGGTTCGCCCCGATTATGTTTCTAAGGTTTGTCAGCACTATTCCCGCTTGTGGGCTTCACCGAAGTGGTAAACGTCTGTGACCTGCATCACTTCGGACTGTGTCCTCTACATTAAGCTGACACGCCGTGATATAACTGGAATACTTTTAAAAGCGGCGTTAAACCCAACTCACTCACTCACTCTTGTACTTTATACTGCACATAGGTTTACTTCATACGGGGAGGACTGTATTGCGTTTTATACCAAGGTAAATATTTCAGCAAAGCTTGCAAAGCAAAAGACCGCATGCCTGGTCAACATATTAGGTGGCATCAGTAGGGATGATGCAACTTGCAGAGAGAATATCACCGAGAAACACATGCTGCAGTCGTGTACATCAACAACGCAATGGGAAGGCTGGATGTACTAATATAGTCCTGGGCAGTTACCATCAGTGATATATGGCCGTTCATCCGTACCTGCGATACATGGGAGCAGACAATGGTTTCAAGAAAGTGGATTCATTTGTTCGTAACATCCATGGCTGCGCTCGCCAGATCGATGTCAGTGCTATCGGTGCATCACTTGATAAGCATGAACCCAGTCGTACCGTCTATGGATATTCGTCAGATCCACAGAGTGAGAAACGTGGCATATGGGAGACGCATATAGGACGTAAACAGGTGCAGTGTCACAATCATCACTTAACTCCCTGAATACATGAGTTCCCAATATCTGCATGCATAGCAGTACAACCACAGCCACAGTACCAACCGAAAGTATGGTACATTTTCACTACTACCTACATATATGTATGCTGTGGTACAAGACCATCCCCACTACCTACATAAACTGTAACACAAGATCCCCCACTTTAACTGCATATACTGTGGTACAAGACCACCCCACGACCTACAAATGCAGTAATACAAGACAATCCCCACTACCTATATAAACTGTAATACAAGACCACCCCCTTTAACTG